ACGCAAGTTGTGAAGTTGTTGATAAACAATACTATCATAGTTAAAGGGGACAAACTCACGTTCTACAAGTTTGCGAAATTTCGCCCATGACGTGATTTCCGACCTTCCCTGACGATGCCGCATACTCGTCAATTGCATCCACCACGTAGCCGCCCGTCCTCGAAAACGAGTGGCCACCAACGCAACCCTTCGGTCCTCCGGCACACCCTTGAATTTAAGAACTGCTTCCACCGAAGCCCACCAATCAACGAAATCGGACCCATCAACACCACCATTAAACTCGGGGATGTCGACACGGAACCCCAATTCCCAACGCGACGCATCGCCCCCTTCTATCGGACGCATGCCCCCGTGCCGGTCACCGAGACCTCCCTGCCGTCCTCCCGTATTGCCCACAGTCCGTTGACGGCCATCGTGACGCCACGGACCCTCCTCGCCGCTGTCCGACTCACCAACATCGGAAAAGTACCCAAAAGATGGCGCCCCGCCACCTGCCGGAGGGCGCCGCTCATGCTGACGAAGAGCAGGCCATGGGTCGCCGCTCTGCCAGCCCTCATCGTCCACATCACTCTCCACTGGACGTGTAACCCTCGGCTGCCTCCCGTCTCTGATATCCGGAAACCCTAGGTGGTCGCGACCTCGACGCGGCGGAAAACGCCCGCCCCTGGCCCGATCGCGATGCGCTGCTGCAAAGGGGTTGACGCCCGAGAGCGTCTCATCAGAGTCTTCACCGGAAAGAAGGGGCGGCGGCGATCGATGACGGGGCGCCCCGTCAAACCCTCGACCCCCGCGTCCTCCACGAGCCCCACCGCGATAGCCCCGGTCCGTCCCGTCGCGGTTCGCACGAAATTCAGCCATCAAAGTTTGCATCGTCGACCGTATCTCCTCCATACCGGCCGAAAGGTCCGCGTGACGATCATCCATGCCCTGGAACCGGTCCTCGAGCCGTTGAATTCTCTCGTCCATGGCGGCATCCTTCTTAGGCGGCATCGTGGATCGATAGCTGGTCTCTGGATACCAACTGATGTAGAACGTGTGCGTTGGGTGCTTGAGATACTCTCTCAAGACGATGACAGAACTTAGAGATACTCTCTCTGAAGAAGAAACGATCAATTTTTTTTAATTCATCAAAATCTGTTTATTCCATCGATAATCCTCCCTTAAAATACATAAAAGAGTCCTACTCTTGCCTAACATGTTGCAAGAGTATTATTTATTTCCTAAAATAAAACCATTAACTAGGAAAGCACAAAAGCCAAGAAAGGAAATAAAATAATAAAGATAGCAAAATAATAATAGAACTAAATCTTGAGCCTGTCGAACTTAGCCAAGAACGCCAAAGCGGTCTCGTCTCCATCAGATAGTATTGCCGGAGTTTTTGTCCGTCAATTTTATTGTTTTAGGCCATGTTTTAAATACCAGTTCGTACCGGTATTACCGGTAATACCGGATACCGGTGGTCCGACCGGTACATTTACACTCAAAATACCGTTTTGGCCAAAATACCGGTTTCGTACCGGAAAATACCGGTTTTACCGGTAAATACCGGCCAAAATACTGGTCAAAATACCGGTTTATGCCATTTTTTTTTAAAAAAGAATATTTTTAATAGATTTTTATTATTTTATTTATATAAATTGAAATTTCTACACTTAACTTTAATATGTTTATATTGTTATTAGATGTTAATTTATTTTAATATTAATTAAAGTTAGTTTTGTATATTATTTATATAATAATAACAAATTAATTTAATATTTATTAAAACCGGTAAAATAGACGGTAATACCGGTCGTACCGGTAATACCGCATACCAGTCGCTATACCGGTATGACGACCGGTACGTTTTTAAAACATTGGTTTTTAGGGCGAGAAATTATAAGGTGAGATTTGTATGATACTAAAAAAAAGTGATAAAGCGTGTTAGGAATTTTCTTCTTAGTGAAGGCTTATTATTTGTTCACATTCATATTTTGAGGGTAAATAAATAAATGAGGAATTTTGAAGTTATATTAACGCGGTCAATTTGGCAGCGCCTTATGAAGTCAGGCGGTCACCCTCAAACGGACTTTATCGACTATGCATCACTGTTCTAAAAGTCGCTAGGCGCTCGACTAGCGCCCAGTGCCTAAAGCGCCTAGAGTGCTTAATCAAAATTTAAAAATTAATATTAAATACCTTATTTTTTATTCACTTTAATTACCTACAAAATAAAATTATCTTAACTTATAATAAATAATCACACCAAAATCCAAATAATAATTTTAATATATTTTAAAGAAAACATAAAAACAAAATAATGTAATTAGTATTTAAATAAATTGAAAAAAAACTAAAAAATTATCGTCCAGTCACCCAGGAGCGCCTTCGTCTACGCCGTCCAGGCGCCGCCTAACCGCCTGGTCGCCGGGCCCACCAAGTCCGCCTAGGAGCACTTAGGGCCACCAAGACCCGCCTAGGCGCCGCCTAGTTGTCTGGCCGATTTTTTTGGCCGATTTGTGCAAATCGGAGACACCTGGGCGCCGCCTAGCGCCTATATGCCGCCTAGGCCGATTTTTAGAATAGTGCTATTCATTTTAAATAAACAATTTAAAAACTGTTTATTTTTTGGTGTCCAAATGGCTCTTTGGCGCATCTCCTTGAAAGTAAATAAGATTTTTGTACATTCTATTTTTGTGGCAGATATAGGTCCTTTTTTGTGGAAGATATAGGTATCTCTTTTTCTGTTCTCATCG